TACAAAAGAGGTCTACTTCGTTTAAATCTGCCACTAATCAAGTTATTAAATTAAAGGGTCTGGTTTGTTCTGAATGAGTGCATTTCCGAGATATTCAGAGCTTTTGTAATCTTTTGATTAGGCAGAAGTATCTCTTTTAAGGGTTAAAACCAAGTAACCTGGCGTATTTCATTCGATCTCTCACTTAACAGAGTTTCTTGGAATTTAAGAAATCGGAAAGTTAAGGATGTGATACGTTCGTCCAATGTACGAAGATGGATGAGTAATGTGCCCGGGGGTAGAGAAGTTGTAATCTTATTTTGGTAGAATTACGACACAAAGTTATTTCCATAGTTCTTACCGAATATTCGTGTTTGTTTCCAATTCAATCTTTGCTTTTGTGGGTCCCTAGAAGGAAATATCATCTGTCAGTCTTTGAACTTCATCTTTCATGAATTCACATTTCGTAAACCAGTTCAAATACGTAAGATGGGAGTGAAGGCGTGCGTATTAAACCTCTTTCTCTTTCTTGAGTTATTGGATTTTTAAATTAATATCGAATTGTCATGTTTTCTTTGGACTGCTATCTTTTACATTTTTTACTCGTTTCTTTTCTTTTTGACTGGTTATTGTGCCTTTCTTCTCTTTCCCATTTTGTTAATTTTCAAGCCAGTGTTCCCTCCTCTAATACACACCATCACTACCGATTTTTAGGGTGGTTGACGTCATTGCTTTCTGATTGGTACAGTAGGATGGGAACAGACATACGTGGTGGATGGGATGATGTCTAGCGGTGGTAAGGTTACTTTAAAGTTCCACTTCTTAGTTGTTGCCGTCTTCACTAACAGTACCACCACCCATCTAGTGGAGTGTCTGCATTCCATCATATGGTCTCGTTGTAGGGCCATCTCTCATTTCTTTCGAAAATACGCTCTTTATTCTGCACTAAACAATCTATTTTTGTTTTCCACCTCGGTTTCAGCATTTGCGTCAAAATGCCAAGTAGCGGGCAGGTTGTGCTTTGTTTCGTTGATTAATTTCTGTACTGCGCATTATCCATCTATTGATTTCGACAATAAGATCTAGTAAAGTTTCCAAATACTAGAAACTTCTACCCTCCAGCATTGATCTCTACCCTAGTATTCCGATATTTCGTAAATTCTCGTTATTAGTCAGTTCATTATTAGATTTCATAAGGAGTCAGCGACATAAGTCTTACGAACAAATCGTATATAACTTGAGATGAGGCTAGATATATTGGCCTTTTTTCTTGCAGCAGAGATTCGTTGATCTACTCTGAAAATTAACTGTCACTATTAAGATGAAGCATAACTAAGTATGTATGTCAGAAATTATCAATCTCGAACTGGAATGGTTTGTTTATAGTGGAAAAATCTCCTTCAGTCTGGTCTTTAAATTAGTTGTCGGCAAATTGAATCATTTTTAAGGATTTTAATAGCTTCAGACATCTGATATTGCCTTTTGCATATTGAATCTTAAAGACGACGAATTGTTTGCTTTGAGAGAGATAGAATTTGATACAGCTCTTCTTCTCTCACTCTTTGCTGGATATTTACCTCTCTTCAGTCAACTAATCATAATAACTCATCTGAAGTAGTTGTCTAGACAGTGGGTCTGAACCACGGGGTTTCGTTTTATGCTCATCATCATCATCATCATCATCAACATTGCGTCTGTTTAATCCCGCGCACAAATCTCCCCTTACTATGTTTTCCTTGTGCGCTTTCATTCTCCTATTGGACTGATTTTGAGAGTTAAAATTATTCACTTACCCTTGTAGATATAAAATCATTATTGACGAACAAAATTAGGGTGCTTACAGCTTATGTGCGGTGGTCATATAGGCAAAGTTTTATTTCTTCCCTTGAGTACCATCATAAGTTGTTAGGGGGTCATCATTTTCCATAATTCCCTGGATTTTGTCCATTTTTATAGCTCATCTTAATACAAATGTGCATTCATTGTTTTTTTAAATGAATCATCGGTTTTGGTCGTAACCTTGGTCCTAATCTACTATGCATAGGAAGTGACATTCTGCCAGATGAAATCGGTTATGGTATATAAATTTTATTACCCACTGCAAAGCGAAAATTATGTTTTCTTTCCATCCTATGAGAAGGGCATCTGAAGAACAAACGGGGAAGGAGTTGTAAATAAGGCCATGACTTCAATTCTTGATTGCTTTCAATTTTGAAATGGTTTGCTTTCTGAGAATTTGATTCTGGTCAAGGTAGTAGTTTCACATTATATTGTGTTGGTTTAGCACCTTTCCCTTTCTTATTCAGCATAGTTTTCACGACGATCGAGGGCATTAGCACATCTTGTCGGTGTTCATGGAAAACATTCTGTATTCGCATGAGTGGTGACGGAAATTTTGCATTTCAATTTCTGTGCTTTGTTTCTTAGTAATTCCTCCTATAATGGTTCCGCGAGCTCCCCACTCTGCCTCTCAGGCCGGAATGAATGGAGCTGCAGACGCAATGGGATCCTACGGCCATCATCATCACTCAGCCGCTGCTGCCTATCGAGCTGGAATGTCTCATCGACTCAACGGTGGGCCTTCAGCAGTTCCCTCCCGTCATTCGATGATGGATTACAGTAACGCCTATCGAGGAGCACCAACACAAGCCCCTCCGGGTCTCATGGGCCCCTCACATTCCGCTGCTGCTGGCCTCCCTCCACCTCAGGCATCTCCCTATGCAGACGCCCCCAGTTCCTCACATCATCTCACCAGTCTCACGGCTCTCCTCAACTCCTCTACAGCTGCTGGTTGCTGCAAATTTGATGAGGAGATGGACACTTCAAGCTCGCTTCTAGGGGGAGCTGGAATGGCTCCTCCTTGTGTCACATTAGATGAGGTAGGCCACGCATGCTTCATTGTTTTTTTTTACTTGACGATCTCGTTTTAGTTTCCTTTTATTCCTGTTTTCCTATTCCTCTATTTAGCCATTAGTTCAGGTATAAATACATTTTTGTTTCAATCTTCTGACGCAAGTCTAACTTACTGTTTTTTGCTATCTTTAATGGATTTTTTTTACATAACGCTCTTAACACTGATAAATTATTTACAATCGCTGTATCGAAAGCCGACTTCACTAAACTGGAAGAATTAATATTTTTATTGAAATTGAGTTGAAGGATTGCCCGTTTTCTTCTTTTTTATGATAATACTTCATATTTATTACCTTTTACTTAATTAAATATCCTTTAATGTTGATCATGAGTTGATCACTCTTCTTATTGTGTTTTCTTTTACACACAAAATATCGCAATTAACTCATCTTAATCAGCTACTAAAATTACTAACCGTTGCTTTGAAGGTGGACGTTTTGCATGTGCTCCCTGGTGTGTATAAATCTATGGATTTTTTGTTTATCTCTGCCATTTATTTAGTTCAATTTAGCGTTGGTTAATAAATTAGGGGACAAATAGTGCTCTGTTCGTAAAGTTCCTGCAAGTTATAATAACTCTAAAACTAGAGGTGTATCTCGTTGATTTCGGCAATTCATTAAGATTATCTTTCCACTCTCTTCGTCGTTATTAAGTTTCAAATTACAGCATTAGGCATTAGGATTATCGATGAGGTTCTAATAGATGCTTGTATTTTGTATGGCTTCAAATACTTGAAACTATTAAATTTGGTGCCATTTAATAGCATTCTAATACGAGTTTTTTTCATTCTGGAACAGGCTTGCACTTTTTGTAAAGGTAGAATTGGCTTATTAGGTAGATAGACTTTCATCAGCAATTATTGCTTCTTCATCCCGCTTTATTTAACTGCCTAAAATAACTAACAGCTATTGTTTCAACTTCGTACTGAGATGTATCTAACTCCTGTCGGCCTTAGTGCTCTCATTATGGCTTAACTCTATCATTATCTACTTATTATCGGCTATATATTCAAATGTTTCACTCTTTAGAACGCAGATCACGAAGTGTTGGGTGGGACACCGCATTTGGTTTTCTCGACTCCTCCGGTATCTTCTGGAATAGGAATGGGGTCTGGGGCATATACGTCTTCGACCCACGACTCGACAACTCAGAGTACCAGTTCTCCACACACTGGTTCGATGTTGAGGTTAGTCCCGAATTTAGCCCGACATTTCATTTCACTCTTTGTTAACGTCAATATGTGCAAATAAAGGTAAACAAACAAATTCTCATAGTTGCAGTGATGATTTGTTGATTGTGCTGCATGTTAAGCTGTAGGTGTGTGTGTGCGTGCGCCGTAACTAGTTTTTTTGTAGGTAGAAATTGCCAAATGCCATTCTTCTCTTCTAATTCCTGTGTGCAGAAATTGTTTTCCATCCTGCATCCCTCTCACAATACGCCTAGAATCTATTGATTAATTGAATGTGGGTATTTAACGTCTTTTACATTCACAGCATTTCTTGCAATAACTACTGTTACTGATTGTGGTTCTTGGCAAATGACTACCTTCACGATCAATTTATTTTGACGAAAGGTTCCCAAGTTGGGGGTACTTATTATGATTCTCAATTGAAGCGGGGATTACTTTCAATTTAGAAATCTGAACAAGGGATCTTCAGCTTAAACGAGTCAGTAAGCCTCAGTAACACTTAGGGCTTTGAGTGGATATCTTAAATATTCATTTGGCTTTTGAAATATATGTTGTGCGCACTTATTTACTTTCTTCTCAAAGCAGTCTAAGCATGCTATTGAGAAGCTCAAGTCATTTTTATTCCTTCAATGAACAGTGTCTCTTCTAAAATCTCTAATACTTTCTATTTGTATCCCTATAAATATTTCATTGATTTTCCATTTAATTCGCCGATAACCAACTCTGTTTCCAATCGTTACTTTCGAACGGTACAGAGTGCTTTATGTGAAGCCGGTAATATTCTTTCATCAGCTTCGAATAATATTTAAGCGCAATGCTTAAGAAAAAGCTCTGATTTTTTTCATAATTTCACGCTTTTAGTTCAAAAATTTGTTCTACTTCTTTTCCTAAGAACGTCGACTTTTCTTCTTTAAGGACTGGGTGTGTAAATCCGTTTTTCGGTAGTTTAGCATTTCTCAATTTCCCTCTTAATACAGGGTTAATATCACATCTGTAAGTCGGAGAACATAAGTTTCATGACCTCATACTGTTTAGATCGAAGTATTTTATATCCACTCACTGTATGGTTTTCAATGAGCTGTTTTGATCCACTTTTTGTTTCTGGCCGAAAAGTCTATGTGGGGGGGGGGGGGCTGGAGATTTTGGAACTGCTATTGTCTCAAAAAAGGGAGGAATCGTTTATGGTGGCTGAAGTGCAAGACCATAAATCATTCGGCGGAAGTCGGCGGGTAAACAACTTATTTCTTGCCTTTGATGGCGGGTTTTGTGATCAACTTCATCGTTGTTGTCGTTGTAGCGCTTACCAAGCAAAGCGTCGCGTACGCGATGTTGAGGGGTTAAGCGGCGCAGGATTTTTGAGGTAGTTCGAACAAACAAACGAAAAATAAAACCAAAAAATCCCCTCAAAAACGTTGTGGGCAATCGACTTCCGCATATTTTTTTCTCTGAATTAGGACATTTGTTATTTGAATTTGGTTTAATAAATTCTTGTTTCAAGCCCGTTACTAATTTTTTTGCCCAAGTTAATGCAAAGAAACTTGCACACACACGTTATGTTGGTACTGGTCGTATTACTCTTGGTTTCTTTGTAATACAATCACTTTTGTACTCTAATTTGTTTTTGATCTAATCCTTAAACTACTCCAGCAGTCTCCATTCGTTAATTTCCTCTAATTCACTTGCGGGGAATTGTTCCTCAATGCAAAGAAATGAGTCGTGAGGTGATTGCAGGGTGAGCTTTTGTGGAGTTGTTATTCAAACTATTATACCCAAGGTTCCTAATCGACATCGGATTTCTAGTTTCCTGAATACTGGCCGTGCTTAGATGGAACATTGGTTCACGTATACTCTTGTAAAGAGGTCACAATTTCGATGCGCATCAGTTCATAGCCATTGATCCGAGGATGGCCAATCACTAGTTAATTTTGCTCACTAAAAAGGTTTAGAGAGCCAATTTCTCAAATCCAACTTTTTCATCTTTAGGCAATCGGTTATGCTGTTGACCTTATTGGGAATTATCCCATAATTAAACTTTATTTATCACCATAATTGGAAGCTGGGAAAACCCTTAAAAAAAAGCGAAATTGCTAGGAGTAGAGGAAGGTAAGTTCAAAAGTGTGTTAGTGTTTCTCTTTCATGTTTTAAATGTTAATCGTTTAATTGGACTGAGTGGATATATCATCATCTAATTTATTGAATCGTTATCTTGAGTTTCCACCTTTTGTCTCCACGCGTTTGTAGTTACCTTTCACATGGGTTGAAGAATAGCATGGCAATGAAGTCCTCACCACCATCCACACCTCAGACTAGTCTAACCAATGGAGCAAAAGCAGCAACAGTTGAAGGCGACAATGGTACTGGTGGCATGCTGTCCTCAGTTGGTCCGTCTTTCAAGACAGAGAGTGGGGATGGAATGGGCGGTGGCCCACCAGGAAGCAGCAGCAGTGGGGATGCCGCCTCGACCGGCGGGCTCGATTCACGCTCACCTGGAGCACATTCGAGGGAGGAAAACTGCCTCTCTGAGGATAATGATACCATGGACACGGGTCTAGGTGAGCTTCCGCTAATTATATTCATGCTTCGTTCTCTTAAGATGGTTTAAGTTGAAGGATAGAAGAGACATTTAGGTATGGAGTTAGAAATTTTCTTTTATTTACTATCTGGTTATTATTTCTTTGTTAGCACTTGGAATTCATTATGCTTTCCATTTGCTATGAATGCTGGATTTAAGGATAACATTCTAATTTCTGACGGTTCAGAAAATAGGGTATTTGAAGTAATTGGAATTTATGCTACTTTTATCTTTAATGCTATGTTTTAGAGCTTTGGTTTTTTTCTGTGAACATTTTTATGGCTTTTTTGCTTTAAACCTCTAGCTTCAGTTATAACTCCGTATTCTCCTTAACTGACGTGTGTTATTTAACCATAAGAACTGATAACAAGGATTATTCCATCGTTTTTGTCAGGTAACCATATATGGAAGTGAAATCGGTTGATGTTTAAGATTTTGGTGATGACCGTATTACTCTTTTCGATTAGCTCTTGAAAAGCTGGTTCAATTGTTATTGAAAAAGAAGTTGCGTAGCATTCTTTCATTTGGTAGACAAATTTATGTTTTTATTTCAAGCACATGCATAATTTGGCGCATCCTCTGTTTTCGATCCCCTTTCCTTGTAACTGCTCATTAGTCTTAATCATTTTTCTTTTCTTATCTGTGCAATTTTACCAATGCCTTGAATACTAATTGTCTATTCATGACACTGATAAATATCCCCTTTCCAGCTGCATTCTGATCCATTCATTCATCTAATTCCTTTGATGAGAAATTAAGTGAATTATAAGTTCATATCATATCCACTAAAAGTCCACCAATTACGTCATCAAAAGCGGATTGCTTATCGAGCTTCTATGTGGGTTTTTATACGAGTACTTTCTGCAGCCGTATGCTTACGTTCAGTATAACTAGGTATGTTCTAAAATTTGTCACCGAGCCTAATTCTATCTCAACAAGGTTATCCGGGAAAAAGGGATTCGCGGAAACGTTTGATTCCCCCCCCCCCATCACTGTGCGTTCAATGCTTTCACTTCTTTGTTTGTCGATTAGGCCCGTGTTGGGCGTTAGTTATTGACCAGACACATTTAGCCCAGTCCAGTGAATTCTATAGCTATTTTTTTCATCTATCCCTCAACAACCAGTCAAAATATTCTGGTATTTGCTTCAGGCAGAAATGGGCTCTTCTGGAGGCCTCAAAGACTTTAAAATGCAGGTTTAGATGTGGTCATTGAAACCGGAGAACAATTATTATTAACTTGCTTATGGTCGCTTAATTTTGTTAAAATTTGTGGTTAATGAGTTTTTTATGGGACATCCATATCTTGTTACTTGTCATTGAATTTTCATTTCTCTAGTTAATATCTATGAGTCCACTGGCTTTATTATTTCACCTATTCTTAGGGACTCTGTAGCATTCGATTGATTGTTGATTAATGTTCAATTGCTATGTTCTAGTGAGTTTTTATTGATTGTCCACAATCATAGCCTTGTTTTTCGCCTGCCCAGTGCTAACGACAGTTCTATCTAACCTCTATTTCTACCTCCTCCTCCTCCTCCATTTCTCTTTCATTTTTGGACTGAATCTTCTTTGGGAAGGGCTGCTGCTTTCAGTTTTGCATGTTGACATTTCTAAACTCGACCCTATCGACTTCTCACTAGTAGTTCACCTAATCGGATTAAGTGCTACTTTAGTTTACTGAATTCAACATTTCGATATATATTGTTAGGAGTATTCGATCAGACCTCATCTTTTTTTGCAGTTGAATGGAAGTAATTTTTTTGCAAATATGGAAAAGTGAGTGTTTTCGAAAAGATTTATTCGCTGATTCTCTGATAGCGAAATATAAATCAACCTTGCTCTCGTTACTCTCTAACAGCCTCGTAAATTGTGCACATCTCAATTGGCTGTTATTTTCGTATTTTGATTTCCGGTGCATATTGTAAGGACGGAGAGAGGGTTTTGGTCTTATTCCCCCCCCCCCCCCCAATGCCTTGGTCCAATGGCAACAATCCTTATCTAGCATCCAGAGGACAACTGGCTTCGTTTTTCCTCCCGTGTCTGGCTGACAAATTTTTTCCGGTTTGGCATTTTACTCTCTAGACTAAAAACTAATAAACTTCTTTCTTTCCTTTCTCTTCTATTTTCCAAATCGCTCTACCTACCATTTTATGGCGCTTGAACGTTGGGGGATATTAATTGCCAGTGGGGGGGGGGGGGATCTAGCGAATTTTTAGATGATTAATTTTGTAACTAGCAAAGCCAAAATGAAGGGGTTGGGGGGCGGCACTAGAAGCCAAAGACTGAAAATTGGCTTTTCCTAGTTTTAAATACCTTTCTCAACGGCAAAGGGGCCAATGCGCACGTCGGGCAGGTTGGGGAATCAACTTAAATTTGTGCAGATGTTTAATGCTGATTAACAGGAGGGTTGACAGAACGCAGAACTCATATAGCAGCAGCTTGAGGATAGCTTCATTTTCTTCAAGTGTGCTTTTGTGATCATCGTGCACAATGCGATCGGGAAGTTTTGTATGACGTAGGCTTCATGGTCTTTCAAAAATCTTTTTCTTCATTCCAGAACTCAGTAGGCATGAATGCATTTGATTTTAAGAGTATTTGTGAATAATTTCAATCCATAATGAGGAATGATATGTAATTCTCAATTCTAATCTTTCTCGTTACGCGTTTCAGCTACTTTTACAACTGCTAAATACCCGAAGAGAGTAATTTAATGTGGTTACGGTTGCCTTGTCAGCCCATTGTAATGGGTGTCTTGTGAAGTCCAATTGTATGCCGCTTATTTGACCGTTTTTATGGATCTCATTGTAGACACTCTGAATGATATAACCATCGATGAATCTGCCCACACATCTGTAGCCTATCAAGAACCAGACTACTGGTGCTCTGTATACTACTACGAGACAAATACTCGAGTGGGTGACACCTTCTATTGCGCCTCCCCATGTCTGACCGTGGACGGTTTCACGGATCCCTCTCGAGAGAATCGCTTCTGTCTCGGACTCCTTAGCAACGTAAATCGCGGACATCAAATTGAACTCACTCGTCGTCATATCGGTAAAGTGTTGTAGTGTGATTTATGTTGTAAAGAGTCTGCATTTTTCTTTGCAATTTCGGATGCAAATTGTTGTCAAGGCAGTGAAATTCTTTCCTTTGGCAATAGTCTTGTGAAATTGATTCGCTACGATATTTCATAGTTGCATTTTATGTTAAGTATGCAAAATTATACAGTATTCATTCAAGCTAGTTTCTAAACAAATCTTTGAAATAGCTAAACATCGTCATTTTTTATTGCAGTGGGGGG